ATAATCATCATCATACCTATCTAACTTTCGCTTTTGAGCCATTTTACTGTACAAACACCCTAAAAACCGCACCAAAATACGTATAAAATGAACAAGGTCAAAAAAAAAAAAAAAAAAAAAAAAAAAAAAAATCCACCTTCATTATGCAAAGAAATTCATGGAACTTGTACTATCATCTGTAGACAGTAAAACTAGCAAGATTATATATGAAGTTCATAACTGATATTGTTTTCTTAATGCACACTTAAAAGCACAACATTTTAGTGGGACTGATATTTTAAGTGTTGTATAAACATAACACTCTGGTAAATGAGACTTCAGCTGACTGACATGCAAGACAATTAACCCTTTGACGGTTATGGAAATGAGCAGTTTCCATTTACTTAATTCGCGCAGCAATAGGAGTAAAGAGTAGTCGAAAGTGGCAGCTGTTTTCCCCGCCGTTCTTCCGAAAATGTCACCTTTCTCTGGCGATGCCGTAGATAGCTCGCCTCGCATGTTTTAAAAATTTCTTTTTTAAAAATTTCGCGAGTAGCATTCCTTTGAAACACAATCAGTGCAGAATAATAATGGTGAACGAAGTCAGCTCGTGAGCGCGCATTGGGGAAAAATTTCACTACGCGAGTAGTGCTCGTTACTAACCATTTTGGTCAAAATCTTGCTCCCGAGCGGAACTCGTTTGCACGCATTATGAAGCATGATTCGATTGCGAGCTGAACTCGTTCATAACCATCAAAGGGTTAAAAAGAATATTCTTCCATTTTGCTTACAAGTTGCCTACACTCACTGAAAAGGAAACTAAAGGAGTTATGATTTTACTTTTAATGTTTTGGATGCATACAATATAAAAGGAAAAATTTCTCTTAACTGAAATCTTCTCTTCATTCAGAAATTCAAAATGCTATAAATCTTACAAATGCTGCCCAGAGGCCTTGGATTAAATATTTAACTGATCACAGCACTCTACGACCTCAATCACTTAATAAGAATTTTTAAGAAAAAAGCATAATTTAATTGTTTAATTTTTGGTATAGATCCAAATCAGTTTGGGGGCCTTACCAATATTGTGTGACCGATTCTGTAGAAAGTCTTCCACGGAAGCATCTCTGTTTTTAGACACATAGTCCATAGTATGCATTGCCATAATGCTACATATCCAATGTAATATCATTTGGCAAGCTACATCAGATTTTAAATATCGCATCGGTATTTAGAATTTGTTTTGTGTGGAAACATGGAATTAGCACATGCAGAGCTTGTTCTTCACAATTCATCTCAAAAATTCATAGTGGTGAATTGCTAAAGCTTATCATCTCAAATAATAAGCTTTCACAATTCATCTCCAAACTATCTGAAAATAATAGTAATTCAATTTTTCATTTTGGAGTTTCAGGCTGTATCACAAATTTAAAGTCTAGGTATTGATAGAATCAACAATGCAGTTAAAAAATTGTCAAGATTACACACATGCAAAATATGTCTAAGACAAAAAAATATGTAAATCAAAATGAATCCTGTAATTCCCCCTCTCTATTCTAAAAATTGTAACTTTTCTGGACTGCGTCATTTCTAGGTCAATCCATCTTGCATGGTTTGCATAATGCTGATGACGTTACTAATTCAGAACCTAAGCTCACAATTTCAAGAACTGAAGCTTTTCGAACTGAAGTTTTGACTGCAGGACTCTCCTGCAGTCAAGATACTACTTCGCTCTGTTTGCTTTGTTGTGCTGCTAATTATGCTATTATTTAAAATATGATACTCTCTCTATAAAATTGTGGATACTTTCTAACTGCACAGTAAAATTCCCCCCAGGATATATATGTAATGAAACAATAAATTTAGATATAATGGTATAGAAGCATTGATAGCATAAAACATAGAATGTTGAATCCATAATGAACAGCAAATTTGGCAGCCGCGGCATATTAAATATTCATCTTTATATCAATTGGCATTTGCAACCACAATTCACTTTGCACTTTAATCATGCCTATTCACGAACATTTACATTTTTGATACTTTTGCGATAGGAAGAGACAGTGAGGCCGTGTCTTACCGCAGAAATAGATGCAAAGTGACCAGTTATTCCAATATAGCAGCTTATTAAGAAAAAAGTTTCTGTTTAATTTCCAAATTAGCTACATCATCAGCATTATGCAAGTCGTATGATATGGATTTATCTAGAAATGATGCAGCCCAGAAAAAGTGATTGGGCACAATGAAACCTAAACAGTAAGTCTTTGAAGCACTTCATTTGCTTTCTTATTGCAACTGCAAATATATACAAACTTTCTCTTCCTTTGCTAACATTAATGATTTCTTCTCGAAAGGCTTTTCTCTGGCCAAGCCTTTTTCTCTTTGAAGAGGGGGTGGATATGTAAAATATAAAATATGAAACAAAATTACTAAACTTATTGGAAACCATTTGGAAATAGACCTTTAAATTCATAAATTTTAATTAAATACATCTCCACTTCAAAAATATACTTTGTACCATTTTCCACTACTTCAGTTTGTTACGTGACTCTTCCTGCAGTATCTGCATTGCTGTAAACTTTAGCCTATGTTGTTCAGGATTAACACAAAGACATTCCAACTGTAATGAATAAATATGACCACACTGAGTATGCATTACTTTTTCCCCACCTGCTGCTGCTAAAATAAACCATATCTCTTATTTCGCCTTCTTTCTTTATTTTCTGAAATGTAAACTGTGCATATAGAAATTCTGGGGTGCATTTAGCATCCCTAGTGTTGTGCCAATTTCAGCAAAAATGTATTTCTGAATAATTATTCCTGTGCAAAATAAATATGTTCTAACCATCAAGCCAGTTGTGATTTTTGCACCAGTCGTCACCTAAGCAACAGTTTTCTTAGCCATGACTAAAGAGTGAATTGGTTTTACCTTCTGCAAAAACTACAACATCGCACACACATATATGCAAACACACACACACATAACATATACATATATATGTGTATATATATATACAAACATACTACAATCACCAGTATAAATGTAGGACCCATCTGGTCACAAGTCATCAGATACATAGACTGGTTGAATTTATTTCTGCTAGACTGGAAAAACATTGCTGGAATATTCACTTCAGTATAGAAGTTAAGAAACTCTCTTCTATTAAGACTTTTAATAGAGTCTCATGTGTTTTCATATGCAAAATTTTCTTTGGGTTCCTCAGGATTACATAACACAGTAAAAATCATATCTAAATTCCTACTTATATACACAATAAGGCACTTTGTTATTCATTCTTTTAACACCATGTTTTGCATTATGCTATTTTGTTGGGCGTTCCACAGAGATTCCTTTCTAGACCCATGTTATTTAATATGATGATGGATCACCCCCAAAAAGGTTACATGGGTTATAAAAAATTATTTATTAGCAATAGACAAAAAATACAAGAGGGAATTAAGAGGCATACTTGCTTATCATTTTCCTCACATAATCATCAAATCTTGTTTTTACGTCACTGTCTGAAGATAACCTCATCTAGATAAATGTTTCTTCAATTTCAGAAAACGGAAATAGTCGTTGGATGCTAAATTTGGACTATATGGGGGAGGGTAACTCCAGACTTCCCACTTTTGCGGCAATTCTTGAGTTTGTACAGGGCCGGGCATTGTCATGCAAGAGGATGACACCATCATTCAACATGTCAGGGCACTTGCATCAGATGGCTTCGTGTAACCTTGTCAAAGTGATCAATAATGGTCAGCAGTAACAATATGACTACACTCCAGATACTCAATCAGGACAGCGAAACACAGCTTGCACCTGTCAAGCGAGACCACTTTTCTAAATGTTTTGCCATTTCAATCTCTCTGACACAGAACTTACTCTATGTATCCACACAACCACTGCTAGACAACTAATGCCATCTGTCTACATTCTGGGGATAAAGTATTCCCTCCACAATAATTACTTTTCAAATACAGATGCTTGAAACTTTTTTTTTTTAAATCCACATAATATTTATGCTAACAATATTCCACAAGCACCATATATTACTCTTGCCATATATGTTGATGACAATTAATGACCCTTGGAAACAAAAAGAATTACTTAGGATACTTAAATACTTTCCTGTTCACTAATTTTGATGAAAAAACAGCTTATCAAATAATGTGATTTAATGCCAGTAATGGATAAGCATGATGTCACAACACACTCATAAGGTTGGTCCTTATATGGGCCTTGGTTTTATTACTAAGCTCCTAATTTTCTTCTGATTATGTGATCTCTTTGGAAAAAGCTTTTCCACATTTTTTTACTGAAGACAGTTAATAGAAAAATGAAGTAATGACCCCTCCCTTTGTTTTTTTATTCAGAAAGATAGAAAAGTTGTAGATATTTTCCATTTTAAGCATTACATGATCAAAAATTTATCTCTGATATACAGATATGTGTGCAAATTTCATGTGAGGCCTATTATTTTGTATAGATATGCTACAGCGTGTTCTAAAATTGATGGTTTTTAATATTAAATTGGCCACCATACAGTCATAGTTGATGCAAATTTAAAGCATTTATTTTAGTTATCTACCACTGTATTTTAAATCTAGGAAGAAGCCACAAATTTCAACATTTTCAATTCCATGCCTTTCAAAATAGGAATATTCAGTTTGTATTTAAATTAAGTTCATGTGTATGTTATTTAAGTCTGTTTACTCTGAAAATTATTGAAACTGATTATTTTTTAACTCAAAAAAATTTCTATAGACTCTCAATTAGCTGTTAAACATTTGTTAAATAGTTTGGTACATTGCAAAATTCATAGAATTTTTTTAAAAAAATTTCTTTGCCACAAGCAAAATGTATTCATCTGGGAATTTTCATAGGATGTTCGATAAACCTAGTAATAAACAATATTACTTATACACTATCACAATTACATTATTAATTTATATATATATAGATGTTGTTCATATTAATTTGATAGTATAATTAAATGGGCATTTTTATGACTTTATAGGTTATTTAGAGCTTTTATCTCAACTAACAAGAGTTGGTGATGTTTCAGAAAAAACTTTCCATGGTAAGGTAAATTATATATTAAAATTTTTTATCATTCTAAAAGTGTATAGTTTAATAGTTAGATATAATTTCCATGCACGTTATGTTTCTTTTAATTTTAAAAGATGAAATTTTTTATTATGTTTTTTTAATATCATTTATGTAGCAACATTATACATAGAATTTAAAAAAAAAAAAAAAAAAAAAGAAAGAAAGCATCATATCTACTTTTAATACCTGAGGCAGATTTCAAAATTGCATCCCCCAAATATATATTTACTCACTTTCTTATTCATGTTTCATTTATTATACAGCACAAAGTCTGAGATCCGGAATGATCTGAAATTCGGACCTCAAAACCGCCAACAACTTTTACTTTATGGATGAGCATTTGATTTTTCTCCTGTAGATAAAACACGTGGAGAGTCCCGATTCTTAATTTCCCTTTGGAATTAATTAAATACCTCATTATTGAAGAAACAATAATTTAGCATTTGTCTGATCAATAATTTGGCTCTGATTGGCATACATCTCAAACCAAAACATTCTGGATTGAAACATCGTTGGTTTTACACCTACTAATATTTTATATCCTTGATGCCCAACGTGGCGAATCATTATTTATTATATTTTGCTTTCATCATCGCATATTTATCAACACATAACAACTTGAGTAATGACTCTTAAACCCACTTTTTTTATATTTATAATTTTTTTATATAAGTACAAAGACTATGGTAACCTTTTATATTGATATTCTTATGCTTGCCAATGATTACAGATCTAAGTTACATTAAGAAATATTGACGAGGAAAAATTTAATAAAAGTTTCTTTCCATATTTTCCCGTAAACCCAGAACCGTCGCCAGAACCCGTATGGCCGCACCAGGTGGCAGATATTAAAAGAAGACAAGATTTTTGAAATTTAGAAAAGCACCGAGGAAAAAAAAAAGGGAGGATGAAAATATATTTAGAATTTAGGGAAAACACTGGGATCCAAAATTTAGGGGCCTCAAAAATTTAGAACTTAGGGAGATGCTTGGTAGTAGAATTTAGGACCCGCAGAGACTGCATCAGGTGGTAAGATATCTAGATAGATATCTAGTGAGTGATAGAAGCAAGGCAAAATTTAGCGGAACAACTTTCTTTCATCACCGACCTCATGATACATACCCAATAATGTAGAGTGGATGCTATTAAGCCAGGCTAAAATTATACTTACTGATTCCAAGAATTTCAGCCAATATAGTGGTTTGCGCTGTTCCTTAACTTTCTCATTTGATCCAGCTTAATTATTTTTTGTAGGCTGTTTTTGGTGAAAATTAAAGTTTCAGCTTTTGATCATGTCGAAAAGAGTTTCTAACTCTGAAGCTGCGACTGGATCTACAAAGCGAAAGCATATTTTGATGTCCATTACACAAAATGTGGAATTGCTTCAAAAAATGGATAAAGGTATATCCGTCTCAAAATTGTGCGAGGAGTATGGCCTTTTTGAATTTTTTGTGGATTCCGACACCTCGCTCGCAATGAATAACAGGAAAATTCTTCTTTATGCTAAAAGTGAAGATCATGACAAAGTGAAAAACTGAATGGGTCAGACAGCGTCACAGCGAGGGCGTACCATTGACCTGTCAAATGCTAATGGCACAAGCTAAAATTTTTCACTAAGAAATGAACTTAGAAACTGTGTGTACATATTCTACAAGTTGGTTAACCAAATTAACAAAATTTGCCCTGGTATAGGGCAATTAAGAATTTCAGGTAAAAAAGCTTCAGCTGATACTGAAGCTGCTGAGCTATTTGCAGATGAATTCATTGAGCTCATTAATCATTATCTCTAGAACAAATTTACAACGCTGATGAAACTGGTCTTTTCTGCCAATATGTACCGCAAAATACCTCCGCAACTCTACAGATAAGGGTCCAACTTGTATCAAAGATACCAAAGTGAGACTAGCAATTTTTGCATGCGAAAATGTGGCAGGAACACACGTGTGCAAACTTTTCGTAATCGGAAAAAATACACAACCTCGAGTAAAGAGTTTCCCGTAATATATTGTTCAAATAAGAATACTGATGACACAAGTGTTAATGAATGGTTTGGAAAATCATTTCATACCCAAGGCTCGGCAAAATTCAGTTGATTTACCTGATAATGTGAAAATTGTCCTGATTGTAGAGAACTGTTTGGCTCATACTTCATCTAAAGTTTTAGTGAAATTTAATGTATTCCTATTATTCTTTCCCCAAAATTATACATCAGTTATTCAGCCTATATATATTGGAATAGTGTGCGTGCTGAAATGGAAATATAAAGTAGAATTTTTAAAATCCCTGTTAAATTTTTTTAATAATGATAAGACTATTCAAGAATTTTTTAAATACTTTGACATAAAATCTGCTGCGTGGGAGGATGTGTCTCCAGTTACTTTAAAAAGTGCTTTGCATAATTTTAGGTCAGCTAGTATATTTCATGGTGAGGCTGATAAATATGATAGCCGCGAATCTGAAGGTTTTCAGATATCGCAAATCAAAGGCTAAATTTTCCAATTAATGGGAATTTTTAAAGAAATGTGGAGAAGCAGTAATAAATGAAGACAATATAACAGAAGTTTTTCATTGCAATGGCATTGCCCCAATTATTAATCAATTAATGGTCAGCGAAATCTGTAGTATGGTTCTAGATCCAGAAAATACTACAGTCAAAAGTCTTTAATCCGGACTCGTTGGGACTTCGGTGATTCTGGATTATTGGTTTTTCCGGATTATAGATCATCAATTTAAATCTGGCAAGATGGCATGCAGAAATTATAAAATTAAATATATGAAACCGTAATTTATGAAATAAAGAGCAATTATGATCTAGAGGGTATCAAAATTTACAGAAAAAAAATTTAATATTTATTTGTTTACTTTATTAAACATTTCTTTCAATGCACGCATGCGTAAAGCATACATTACACATAGTCGAAATTAGAAAACTATTTGATGTGTATTCGTGATATTTATGATGATGAGGAATTTGATTTAAATCATATCAAAGAGAGTATATCGATATGAAATACAGTAATAAAGTAAGGAATTACAGACAAAAGTCGTTAATCTGGACACCCATAACCCGGAATGATCTATAATCCGGAACTCAAATCTACAAACTTTCTGCGCATGCGTCAATGCATAATGCGTTCGTGCATGCGCATAGGCATTCATGCATGCGCGTAATACTTTTACGCATGCGCATTTAATGTATAACAGACGGCATAAGCTAAGCTAAAATGATCTAATTATCTATTTCAGTTAATGTTGCAGATTGCGTTTTCCTTGTTCTTCGAATTGGATCTGGCTTATTATTTTTTGCAGACTGTTAGAGCAACTTTATAAAAGTAAGCTTGAACTTTCAATTATGTCAAACAGAATTTCCGATGCTAGAGCTGCCAAAGCGAAAGTATGTTTCGATGTCCATCAAACAAAAAGTGGAATTGCTGCAAAAAATGAATAAAGGCATATCCTTTGTTTCTCTAACCATTCCGAAATCTGTTTATCAATTTCACGCTGCCCTGCGGGGTGGGGTGGGACATCGCAGCACGCAATGATCTGGAACTTGATCTGCCAGCTGTATCCTTATCTTTAGCGCAGATGTTTTTATTTTATTCAGCTTATAATTCCTTACTAAATGTAGTATTTCATCTCGATGTATTCAGTCTTTGATATGATTTAAATCAAATTCCTCGTCATTATAAATATCATGAGTACACATCAAATAGTTTTCTGGTTGCAATTTTCTAATTTCGACCATTCGTAATGTATGCTTTACGCATGCGCGCGTTGAAAGAAGTGTTTAATAAAGTAAAAAAATAAATATTAAGCTTTTTTTTTGTAAATTTTAATACCCTTTAGATCATAATTGCTCTTTATTTCAGAAATTACGGTTTCATATTTTTAATTTTATAATTTCTGCATGCCATCTTACCAAATTTAAAATGATGATCTATAATCCAGAAAAATCGATCATCCGGAATCGCCGAAGTCCTGACGAGTCCGGATTAAAGACTTTTGACTGTATAAGCTGAATAAAATAAAAACATCTGCCCTGAAGATAAGGATAGTGCTGACTGATTAACTTGCAGTTCATTGCGTGCCACAATGTCCCCCCCTCGCAGAGCAGCGTGAAATTGATAAACAGATTTCGGAATGGTTAGAGAAACAAAGGATATGCCTTATCCATTTTTTGCAGCAATTCCACTTTTTGTTTGATGGACATCGAAACATGCTTTCGCTTTGTAGATGCTTTGGCAGCTCCAGAGTCGGAAATTCTTTTTGACATAATCGAAAGTTCAAGCTTACTTTTATAAAATTGCTCTGCAAAAAATAATAAGCCAGATCCAATTAGAAGATTAAGGAACAACACAATCTGCAGCATTAACTGAAATAGATAATTAGATAATTTTTGTTCAGCTTATACCATCCGTTATACATTAAACATGCATAAGCGTTATACATGCATAAGCGTATTATGCGTTTACAAATGCGCAGAAAGTTTGTAGCTTTGAGGTCTGGATTATAGATCATTTCGGTTTATGGACGTCCGGATTAAAGACTTTTGACTGTACTACCAATAATCAAGAAAGTGACAGAGAGGTTATTGAAAACAAAAAAATTTCGATTGACAAATTAGTTCGTAATTCTCGACACAGCAATTACAGATCTTGAAACTTTGTTACTGAATAAGAAATTATGTCTGTCTACAGAATTAAAGAGAAAATATTAGCACAAAAAAAGCAACAAACAACTTACATTAAAAAAAATGTTTAATAAAGTAAACAAATAAATATTAAGCTTTTTTTTTTTTTTTTTTTTTTTTTTTGTAATTTTAAATTTTACAACCCTTTAGATCATAAATTCTTCATTATTTTTATTTTATAATTTCTACATGCCATCTTACAAGTGTTAAACCGATGATCTTAATATCCAGAAAAATCCCAACTCTGGAATCGCTGAATTCCCAATGAGTCTGGATCTCGGATTTTGTACTGTATTTAAATTTTGGGTATTCTTCCAATAGGTGATCTATCTTTCTTAACTGATCGATAGATGGCACCATTAAAATTGTTTTTTTTACACACTTTTTCTTTCTGCCATTTTGCTCAAATTTTCACGCTCAGATTTATTATTATTTAATACAGTCAAAGGTCTTTAATCTGGACTCGTCGGGACTTCGGCAATTCCGAATTATCGATTTTTCCAGATTATAGATCATCAGTTTAAATCTGGTAAGATAGCATGCAGAAATTATAAAATTAAAAATATGAAACCGTAATTTATAAAATAATGAGCAATTATGACCTAAAGGGTATAAAAAAAATAAGCTTACTATTTATTTGTTTACTTTATTAAACATTTCTTTCGACGCGCGCATGCATAAAGCATACTTTACGCATAGCCGAAATTTGAAAATTGCAACCAGAAAACTATTTGATTTGTATTCGTGATATTTATAATGACGAGGAATTTGATTTAAATCATATTAAAGACGGAGCACATCGAGATGAAACTGCATTTAGTAAGGAATTGTAAGCCGAATAAAATAAAAACATCTGCCCTAAAGATAACGATAGTGCTGACAGTTCATTGCGCGCCACGACGTTTCCCCTCCTTCCCCCGCGCAGAGCAGCGTGAAATTGATAAACAGATTTCGGAACGGTTAGATAAACAAAGGATATGCCTTTATCCAGCAATTCCACTTTTTGTTTGATGGACATCGAAAACATACTTTCGTTTTGTAGATCCTTTGGGAGCTCCACCATCGGAAATTCTATTTGACATAATTGAAAGTTCAAGCTTACTTTAAAAAAATAGCTCTTACAGTCTGTACAAAATAATAAGCCAGATCCAATTCAAAGATTAAGGAACAACGCAATCATCAACATCAACTGAAATAGATAATTAGATAATTTTAGCTTATACAGTCTGTTATACATTAAACGCACATGCGAAAACGTATTCTGCGCTTGCACGCACACATATGCGCAGTCGTAAAGGTCTTACGCGCACGCGTAAACGCCTATGCGCATGCGTCAATGCGGCACATGTGCAGAAAGTTTTTAGCTTTGAGGTTCGGATTATAGATCATTCCGGATTATGGGTGTCCGAATTAACGACTTTTGACTGTATTAATAATTTTTTATGTTTTGAAAATTGTTTATTTCTTTTGCTGTGTTTTGTGCTGCATGTGAGGTAGGATTCAAAAGTTCCCAGACTGAGACTATAATGTAAAAAATATTATGAATTAAATTGCAGAAACACATCCTCCTTCGAAATAAAACCCTTGGGCAACAACACACTTTTGTTAGCGCCTGTAAAGTTTATCGAAGCGTATATGGAATCCATTTTTGGCCATGTCCTTTAATTCAGCCTGCAATGCGCATTTAACTTCATCTGAAGATTGAAATCGACGACCTTACAGGCATCTTGTCAGTTTAGGAAATAAGAAGAAATTGCAGGGTGTGAGATCAGCTGAGTAAGGAGAAGGAGGCAAAACACTTGTTTTCATTTTTACAAGAAGGTCATTGACGAGTAGGGATCAGTGAGCAGGGGCGTTGTCATGCAACAGCACCCATGACTGTTCAGCCCACATTTTTGGTCTCTTTATTTGGATCGACTCACGCAAACGACGCAGGATTTCGATGCAGCCTTCTTTGTTCACAGTGCATCCTTCAGGGATAAATTCCAGATGCACAATGCCCTGGATATCGAATACCTCTAGCATGACCTTTCCTTTAGAGCGATCCTGGCGGAATTTCTGCTTCTGTGGAGATTGTGGCGATTTCCATCTTGCCAATGCTCTCTTGGTTTGCGGGTCACACAAAAAACACCATTTCTCATCTCCAGTAACAGTTCTGCCAAGTAAGGAAGGATTTTTGTCAACAGTCGAGATTAAATCTCCTGCCATTTCCATTCGAATTCCCTTTTGGTCTGTGTTTAGCATGTGGGGAATTATATGTTGACACAACCGATGTATGTTAAGATCCTTAGTCAGTATCCGCTGAATGTGGCCTCTGATATCCCAACTGATTCTGCTATTTGGCAAACTGTTTGTTGCCTGTTTGCATGTACTGCCGCAGACACCTTTTTGATGTTTTCATTGGCACGCGAAGTCATGGGATGCCACAGTGTTTGTCATCTTCTGTACTTTCCCTGCCTTCTTTGAAATGACATTGCTACTCAAAAGCTTCCGTTCTCAACAATGTTTCACTTCCATACACATGTTTCAACATTTTGTCTCTTTGTCATACACATGTTTCATCAAGTCTTTGTTGCACTCTTTCCCAAGCAAACACAAAATTTGATATTGATTCTCTGTTCAACTGAGGCTTTCGACGAAAATTAAATATAATCAAACAGTTAATCACAAATAATTATCACCATGTTATAAAGTAATTTTCTTCCTCCTTATATTTGCTCTCTTTGAGAGTGAAAATAAACAGGGAAAAAATAAGAATAGAAAATATCCCTACAGCCTCATTTATGTCCATCCACCCTAATTCATCAATAAATTGGTCGAAATATCACACGTGAGTTTGTGCTCATGGTGGCAGCCGGCACAGTTAAACTATATTAAGTAACAGTAATAAAATTAAGCTGCAAGGTTATATATTATGAAGTCAAAAATTGTCATTGAATCTTAGAGGTATCCAAGATATCAAAAGAATAAAGTAGATTATTTCATAAAAATTTTAATAATATACAGTCAATCTTTCCCATGCTTCAAATATTAAAATTTCTTAATTTGCATAAATTTTGCATAATATTTTTTATATAATTACTGCTCTTTATGCTTCTGAATTTTTGTCAATTTAAACATGACTTGAATTTTTTTTTTTTTTTTCAGATACATTTAACGAAATGAAAATGCACAAAAATAGATATTTTGTTACTGTTATCGAAGATCTCTTGACGAAACAAGTCATAGGAACTGCAACATTAGCTGTGGAAAAAAAATTTATCCATTCTGCAGGACTGGTAACTACATCTTAGTTTATATATTAAAAGCTTAGTATTTAAACTTTTAAGACCCTCATAACTAATATCTGCTTAAGTGTCTAGCTTTAAAGGATAAGAACTTTAAACACATTTAAATATACAATGAAATATGAAATTTCATATTCCATTTCAGAGAGGTAGATTAGAAGATGTTGTAATCAGCAATGATTATAGAGGAAAGCAACTTGGAAAATTGTAAGTTATTCATTTTTCTTTTTGTATAGGGGGGATTTTAAATGTAACATGCAAACTTTAGAATATACAGTAAAATTTGGATGAGAAGTTTTTTCTTGAAATAAGTTTGATTTTTAAAGTTCCAAAATAAACAACACATATATAAAATTAAAGGATCTTTCACAGGGAGCCCATCCATTTCCTCAACTGGAGCTAGTATGGGTGGTGTGATCACATTCCAGCACTGCTATACTCAGAATTGACATCTAGATTTGAGAAAGATTGAAGGGGGATGATGATTTCAAAAACCTCTCTAATTTTGAGGCTGTTTTTATGCTGGGGTTTAGCATTGTCCCATTCAGTTAATAAATATGGAAGCTCTGTGACATATTTAACAAATATCTTTGTTGGGAATTGAGCATTGTGAAACTCCAAACCCCAGCACAGAAACAGCCTCAATGTTAGAGAAGCATTTTAAATCACTACCAAACTGTGTTGCAAAAGAGACTTTCCCTTCAATCTTCCATACATCTTGATGTCAATTCTGAGCACAGCAACCTATATAAGATGATGAATGTGATCAAACCAATCATTCCAGCTCCAACTGCTAAAGCAGACTGGTTATCTGCAAAATATCTTTTATATATATATTTAAAGGTGTCTCCAGTATGTCAACCTATTGTATCTCATTCTTAACTTCATTTAAAGATATATTAATTTAGCCTATTAACTGATCTTGCCACCTGACTATTAAGCTATGAATATGTGCTCCCCCTCTCCTCCCCTAATGTATATAAACAATCCCTACTTCTGTAACTGGAAGACGAAAATTTCAGAAGATTTCACATAGTTTTCAATTCATTATTATCATAAAGCTCTCCTATATACTATTGGCGATGTGTCATGAAATTAGTGACTAAAGAAATGTTGCTTTGCTAAATTTTGTCTTGGTTGCAGGCTGACAAAGTTAGGCCTGAATTATACCTTAGTTTGGTTATTTATATACTTAAGCCTACTTTTTGCATCTGTGTAAGGCTTATCTGATTCCCAAATAAACTCCCACATACACGTAAGTATTATCTAGGGTTTGTGCTAGAGATGAACGATTGGCTAAACTGATCAGACTCCGGCGAAAATGGAATGGCAGTTCTGTAACAGTTTATCGAGTGCTGTTGTTGGAAAGTGTCCAAAAATTTGATTCCTCTTAATGTAAACACCAGCAGTCTTGCCTTGATTATTTACCGGAAACGTCTCTGACCTATTTTTTATGCGTGTATATGTGTTATGTATGTATATAAGTGTGCTTTTGTCTTGTTTGTGTTCCATCTAATATTTAAAAAACAAAACATTAAATAAACCGACGCATCTCAATGAATCTCATCACCCCTGTTTGCAAATGGATGAAGTTTTTTCTTCCATCTGACAATGCGAGGATCTGTTTAAAGTAAATAGGAATTTATTTCTCGGATTCCCAGCTGTCAGCACTCCGACATTAGTCGCAGATCTGCGTCCTTTGGAGTTGTCATTACAGGAGCAGTTTTCATTGCTCCTGTTGTAGCTGCGCATCTGATTCCGGAGTCTTCATTATTTGCTATGTAAAATAATAAATTATATTTTTATTTATTTACTTATTTTACTAACACCTTATAATCAAGAGCGGTGAATTTCTCTTTAATCTTCTTTAGACTTATTTCTAAACATAAATTAAACATAAGTATATATTTCTAAACATAAATTTTTCCATGTGATGTATTTTTTCAAGGTTGCAGAACAAAATATGGATCCTACCAAATAGAAGAACCTTGAGCTATATTTGGCATCATTTTGCCAAATTAGATAAAAAAAAAAAAAAAAGGAAAATGCCAGTATTGTTAGCAATTTGCTGTTCTTTTGGGATCTGCCTCTGATCTAAAAATTTATTTTCACACTGTGTTTTGTAGTAGCAACAAAATATCAATTATAGTAATAATGGTAATCTTTAAGAAAAGTGAGTTTAGTTTTCATTATTTTTTATTCCAGAATTTTATTGTTGTTCTATATGGAAAAGTTTTTTAGAAAATCTCAGTACAGTTGAAAGAAATCAGTGCAGGGAGTGAGCAGTTTGGTTGAATTGATTCCAGCTATCCCATTCCTTGTTCAAGTTTTTCTGCTTTTCCCTCACCTTTGCACACGGCTCTTGATCCATGTCTAGTCCAAACACATTCATCAAGGTCATTTTTAGTAAGCGGTAAATCGTCAAAAAGAACTAATTAACTTCAGTGAACGGTTCCGATCTGATCGCTTAAAGGAGCAGTTTTGTTCACATTTTGCAGGTTGGTGTAGTTTTTGTGCGTTCTAAATTCTGAAAATTTTGGCATCCCTAAATTTTTCATCTGTGTGCCTTCCCTAAATTCTGAAGATTGTGTAATCTCTTAATTTTGTTGTTAGGTGCTTGTCTAAATTCTAAAAATTTTGCCTTCCCTTAATTTTGCTGCCTGATACGACTGCACCAGCTCTGGTGTTGGTCCTGAGCTTATCTAGATAATAATAAATAATGGCACCAGGAATATAAATTATCCAGTAAGTGTAAAATCAGCTTTGTTTTGATGTAGAATATTTTGGTTTGAGATGTATGCCAAGTAAAATGTTAGTTATGGAGCTGAAAATTTTATGTAATTACGTTTTATTGAAAAAAAAAAATATCAAATAATGCATATAAAGAGGGAAAAAACTGCTTGTTGTCAGGAAGATTTGAAGGGCTTGTAGCAAGAAGGATACAGCTCCACTTTGGTAGATTTTGTGGTCATGGTTTGTTTTTGTTAAAAAAAAAATCATTCTTTGCATTGGGGTAAAAAGCCATTGGAGTAGCCATAAAAAATTACTTTTACTAGCACTTTTAATGAGGACAAATGTTTAGAACATAAGTTAAAAAACGAATTTTTTAATTTTTTGAAAATTTAAAAATGTGGAGTTGGACCCTGCTGCAGGCCCTTCATTTGGATTTTAAATCATTCTAAATATTGGACGTTCAGATTTCAGACTTTGTATTGTATAGTATAGACTTTGTCTTTGTACTGTAAAACTGTGAGACTTTGTATTGTACTGTATACTTAGATTATTACTGAATCTCACACTATAGAAAATTGCTTGAGTGCAGTATACTATTATAGTATCATGTTGAGGAAGCTTAATCTATAACGGATTATTTCTCAAAAACAGAAAACATTGGTATATTTAACAAATTGCCTAAAATCATTTTAAATTTCTGTAATTTGTCTTTTTTGATTACCTCATTGACTGTCTCACTTTTAAAAAGCTTTCTTTTTAATAAATTTTCTCACTCTATGCTGTTCCTAATCCTCTGAAAAATTTCATAGCAGAGATCTACTGTATTTTATATTTTCTATTGTATGTGCATTTTAAGTAGCAAAAGCATAATATTTATTCATATATTAATAACTACTTAGTATTTATAAATTTTTTACATGAAAAAATTTTTATTTGTACATTTTATTATCCTTTATTTTTTATATCAGAGATAATCCTTTTGAAGGAAAAAAAATCTTTTTCACTGCATACTTAAGCATTTACACAAAAGATATATATATGTACAGTACAAAGTCGACTCGTTGGGACTTCGGCGATTCCGGATTAGGGTTTTTTCCAAATTATAGATCATCAATTTAAATCTGGTAAGATGGCATGCAGAAATTATACAATTAAAAATATGAAACCATAATTTATGAAAGAGCAATTATGATCTAAAGGGTATCAAATTTTACAAAAAAAAAACTTAATATTTATTTGTTTACTTTATTAAACATTTCTTTCAACGCACACATGCATAAAGCATACATTACGCATAATTGAAATTAGAAAATTGTAACCAGAAAACTATTTGATGTGTATTCGTGATATTTATAATGATGAAGAAATTTATTTAAATCATATCAAAGACGGAGTACATCGAGATGAAATACTACATTTAGTAAGGAATTATAAGCCGAATAAAATAAAAACATCTGCCCTGAAGATAAGGATAGTGCTAACAGATCAACTTCCAGTTCATTGTGCACCGCAACGTCCGCAGAGCAGCATGAAATTAATAAACAGATTTCAGAATGGTTAGAGAAACAAATCATTAAGCCAAGCTGTTCTGATTACGCAAGTAATATCGTGCTAAGTAGAAAAAATGCGGTTCATTTAGACTATGAATCCCTTTCCGAATATTTTATTGTTATGTGTGAAATAGCCAGTCACGGTTCTGTTGATGATTCATCAATTCTTGATTATGTAATCAATGGGATACCAGTTCAGAGTAGTTACAAAATTATTTTGTATGGGTGTAAAACTGTTCCTGAATTCAAAGAGAAATTAAAAATTTATGAGAAAAATCCGCATTCGAGATTCGAGGAATAACGGTTATTCAAGTACTAACACACAAAATAAAGCATGCGCTATACTTAATAAGAGTATAGAACCAAGGTGTTATGACTGTGGTTCAGCGTAATGTATGCGCATTCTTTATGCACATGTGTAAAGCATACAAAAAAAAAAGTTTGTGGCTTTGAGGTCGGATTATAGATCATTCCGGATTACGGACTTTGTACTCTATATGTAACAAATATAAAAATTCCACTTACCTTTATTTGTTGTGTTAATTCCATTAAAAGTAACTTTTTTTTTTTTTTTTTTTTTTTTTTTTGCTTAACTGATGTAAGCTATTTTTAAGGCCATTAATTTGAGAAATCTATCATTCAGAAGCCTGGACTGAACTAAAATGAGAAAGAGTAGCCTTGGCAGAAGCAATTCATAATCAGAGTGCAATTGCTGCAATTTATAGTCAGATATTCTAAGCAAAAATTAATACAAATTAATACATTAAAATATATTATTTGAAAACCAAAATAACATGAACAAATTAAAATTATACATATTAATGAACTAACTATATTCAGCATTTTGGATAATTTTCAATAATGATTAATTTTTATTTCCAGCATTTATCATTTTTATTATGAATAGATAATATAAGTAAAATAAAAAGAACAGATTGGCAAGTTCACTGCAAAGTCTTTACTAATTATATTTATTTATTAGTTGGAATAGTTCCTGTAATTTTGATATCTTTCCATATATATATATATATATATATATATTCCAAAAGTGTTACAAAATTAATTTTCAACTGTTTTCATATATATAATATCCAACACTAACTATTTTTATTACATACATACTGATATCCTCAATATCAAACTATTGGGTAGAATTTAAGACACAATAACACGCCGAATAAATACTAATTCAGAAGTCAAACAACAAAAAATCAGCGTTAAACCTACAAAATTTTCACAGGACCATTTGCGGTTTTGCAGCTGAAGATGATGGTTCGGTAAAACCATCGAAACTAGTCCTGTGAAAATTTTGTAGGTTTAACGCTGATTTTTGTTGTTTGACTTCTGAATTAGTATTGGGTAGAAGTTTAATATTATTTAAATATCTGAATATTGTAAACATCCTAATTTATATTTTCTCTTTACAGAATGGTACTTACAATTCGGTTGTTAGCAGAATATATAGGATGCTATAAAATTACCCTTGACTGTAAAGACAAAATGGTCAAATTTTACAATCAGTTTGGATTTGCATGTGAAAGTGGAAATAATAATATGATGACCATAAGATTTAAAGAATAATGTTGAATTTAAAATTCATGTTAGTGTTTTGGTTGTAAAAATTACTTGTACAAAATAACTTAAACGCACAAATCTTTCTTTACAGAAAATATAAATGGTTTAAGAAATAAAATATACTTTGTTATTTATGTGTTTTTTATTATCACTACTTATCCTTTACTTACAACAAAAATTTTCCCCAGCTTTAAATAAATTTCATATTTATTGCTAATCCTGGAATAACATAAGCATTTAATAAAGATGCACATTTGAGATAACATGAGCACATATAGTGCACCCTAAAGAATTTACACTTTTTCATATAAAACAATTTATTAATTGGAAACATAGTATTTAGGCGTAGTGTACAGTTCATAAGCAGTTTTTTCCTTGTGTGTACGATCAAGATGACAACCAATGTAATCTATCTCTAATCTAAAAGGTCCAGGAACAGCAGCAGCTGTAATCCCCACACTGTTTACTTTATTTAAAGGTATCTGACTTTGCTTGTCTTGTATTCTTCCTTTCGATGTTAAGAAAAATTTTGAAAATGGTATCTAAAATAAAATACAAAAATATAAAATATAGTCTATTATAAACTATATTTTTAAAATTCTAATACATTAAGATGCAAAAGAATCTCAAAATAGCTGCCATTTCAATCATAATTTTTATTAATTTAAAATGATGAAAAACTTGGACCAATATGTTATCTTGAATATAAGACAATGCTTTTGTAACAAGACAATACTTTATCTCCATTTAATAAAAAATACAGAACGGTCATATATAAGTACATCTTCTTTTGGTAGTCACCTTTGAAAATATCAGTATTCTGAGAATATAAACTAAAATCAGTATTGATAGTTGCTGTATTTTCCAAGATGAACAGTCCCTGACCTGTCAAAGACCATTTAAAATGCATTTATACAATCACTAAAATATTTAATATTTCTATCAAATTATTTTTTTCCATAAAATAATTTATACTAATTAATTTACTATATAAATACAAATATACTTGTACTAAAAAATAAGCAACAATCATTAAAAGAAAAGGTATGAATGTAAGGGAAATTATAACATAGAATTTACATATGAGGGAAAGGTTGCATCTCTGAATGCAAACAGGCAACTAACATTAGCATAAAACAGAATCCTGCAGTCACACCACAATGCCTTAAGAAAGGGTATGCCACACCTATGCATCAGTTCGTGAGCAGTAACAGTTCTGTATAATTGGTGTGTATTGGTGTATTTAATTATGGCAAAGCACACTAGGGCTATCTGCCTAAGGGAGGGATGCCTTCGTGGAGGACTTTCTAAGGGAAACTGGCTCGTATACATGTTACACATGGGGAAAACCACGAAAACACCCATGCAGCCAGCCCGTTTGCAGGATTCGAACCTTGGACCGAACTACCAGTGTTCAGCGACTTTACCGCCCGGCCACTGGTGGACCTGTATAATCGGAGATAGCCAAAGCGGAAAGCATGAGCCCAAGACACCACGTGCAAGATGAAATGCACTGGATTCTGTTGGGCTGGTGCAAGACAATCCACTGTTGCGAGAGAGCTGAATGTGCATCGTAGTGTCACAGGCTGTGGAATTGTTGCCAGAGGGATTAAAATCCCTGTAGAAGATGTGGGTCTGGAAACTGGACAATTACCACAGTGGCAGACGATAACTTCTTGTTGCTATGAAAAGATGTTCACTTCCTGTTGCTATGTGCAAGACATCATAGATCACGAACAGCATGACAGCTGGTATCACATCTCTCTGCTGTTGCAGGATGGCCCATATTGCGCTAAACTGTGTCGTGTCGACTGCATGCCCGATGACCTGTGGTATGTGTTTTGTCTCTATTGCATGTCAGACTGCAGTTGAATTGGGCCCGTGAACATTGCATTTGGACACCAGAGAAATGGGGCCCTAGTCTCTTTACAAATGAGTCTTGATTTAACATCCAGAATAATTCTCGAAGGGCAATGATATGGTGAGAGCCAGGGACATGCTACTGGGTGCCAAAGATCATCAAGCTATTAAAGAGGAGGAGGCATTTTTGTATGGGCTGGGATATCAAAAAACGGCTGTACCGACCTCTACATGTTTGTTGTTTCGTCACAGCTGTTCGATATAGCAACAAAATTCTATATCCTCTTGTGTATCTGTTTATTGCTGCAATGGGTACCAATGTGATATTTATGGATGACAATGTCTGCCCCCATAGAACTCTAGATCAGAGTTAACTGAAGAGTGAAACAATTTCACTTCTGCTGTGGTGTGCTACCTGAATCCCATACAACATATGTGGGACTTGTTGGAACAATAGATAACAGGTCACAGTGTGCCGCAGGCATCCTCTATGAGCTCAGACATGCATTATTATAGGAATGGGTACTACTGCCACACCACGTGATTAACTACACTATTGCTAGCTTGTGTTATTGTTGTCAAGCATGCATTTCAGCTAGAGGGTATCACACCTGTTATTAGCATGATGTTTTCACTGCACATTCTTCCAATCCACTTAGTCTTTCACAATGTAATGGTTGTAATACATGTGTTTTTGTATGCCTTTGCTTTATTGTTAACTATGTGGTCTGGTAATGCTACACCAACCTCTTGGATCAATTTCACACATCCAATAAATAGTTTTTGCTTTATACCATGTTCTGCCTTTGTTGTTTATTTTTTGAGCAGGAGTGTAATTTGCGATATTTGAAAACCTTCAAATTCATGGCTATCATCATAAAGCTCTGCTAGTATCTGCTATATACTATTGGCGATGATTATGAAATTTGTGACTAAGATATGTTGTTCTGCTAAATTTTGTCTTGCTTTTATCACAGGCTGACGGAGTTAGGCCTGAATTATACATTAGTTATTTCTATACTTACGCCTACTTTCTGCACATGATTATCTGGTTCCCAAATAAATTACCACATGCATGCAAGTCTTATATCTACGGCTTGCGCTAGACATTCTGAAGCCTCATGCAGTCTCTATGTGTCTTAAATTCTGCTGCCAAGCGCTCTCTAAATTCTAAAAATTTTGTCGTCCTAATTTTGTTATTTGGCACCTGTCTAAATTTTAAAAATTTTGCTCCCCCTAAATTCTGGGACCTGCTGTGGCTTCATCAGCTCTGGCGCCGAATCTGGGGGTAATCTGAGTAACAATTCAGTTATTCTCAATTTGAACAACACTAAATATCTTTTGATCTATCAGAACTTTGACGACATCGTTTGCAAAACTGAAACGCTGTCTGTCAAATTCTTCGCGCTGCGATTTTCTTTTTGCTCAAGGGTCAAAAGTAAAAAAATTTAATATAAAAATAAAAATAAAAATTTGTTTTCAAAGAGACTCGTTATGATTTTACTCCTGTTCTCTCGTTAATAAATTTATTAAAAGAAGTTTGTTCTCTATATTATCATGCTATTACATTATCATCCTTAATCAAAGAACCTATAAATTTGTGACCGCGTTCATAATCGATTAATTGCGATTCTCGTCTACAAACGAGAATACTGAAACAGAATCGAAGAGATTAAAAACTGGCAGGGTAAGTCTAAAAATTCCTCCTTTTTGGAAACCCAATCCCCCAAATATTTGTTTCTTCTGTGCAACTGTCGAATTATGGCTGATTAACTTTAATACCTACATAATCAGTAACATATCAACCTACATAAACAAAATATGATTATGTAGTCACAAGTTGATGCGTATACGTAGGCATCACTCCTAAACTCATTGCTAATATTTTCCAAAACCAATATAGAACCATTTTAAATAAATTTCTTTCCTTATATAAAACCAGCATAAAAAATTATAAAATTAAAGAACACCCTATACTGTCTAAAGTCAGAAGACTTTCTCGAAAGTTGGTTGCTGCAAAAAAGAATCTTCAGGAGGGTCTCTGCAGACCATCAAAAAGCAGCTGGTTAAGTCCATTACATCTCGCTTAAAAAAAAAAAAAAAAAAAAAAAAAAAAAAAAAAAAAAAAAAACTGCAAACATCATACCAGACCGTTACCCACTAGCATTTCTAACGGACCGTACAAATATTCTGCATAGGAAAACGATTTTTTCAACCACAGATAAAAGCCTATCAACAGATTCCTGTTCAGGAAGCTGATATTCCGAAGACGGCCATTATAACACCTTTTGGACTTCTTGAATTTACTTATATGACATTTGATCTACGCAACACAGCATAAACCTTCCAAAGGTTTATGAATACCATGCTAAGCGGCCTAGACTTAGCATGGTATTCATAAACCTGGTCTGCTATATCGATTCTCACTGCCCTCAATCTCAACGATTCTCATTGCTTCTTCAGACATAGAAACACACACAAAAAAAGCTGGAATTAAGTCTTCAGAAGGCTCAATAAGTACAGACTGAGAATAAACATTGCAAAATGTAAATTTGGTCTGAGCAAAGTTGAATTCTTAAGTTACAAATATCAACAGAAGAAATTAAACCTCTTCCATCGAAAGTTGATACAATTAAACAATATCCTAAATCGGAATCCTTCACAAGCTTACGCAGATTTTTAGAAGTGGTGAACTTTTACCATCTCTTCATACCAAACTGCAACAACTATTGACAATCTTGCTTAAAGGAGTATCAAAAAACGGTAAAAAATCTCTAGTTTGGAACGGAGATGCGCAGAATGCTTTTTATTAATATCGTAAATCGCATTTTAGTTCACCCTAACAAGAGATGCATCTGATTTCACCATAGGCACCGTAATCCATCACCTATCGTAATGGTGAAAAACAATTGCTAAGCCTTTTTTCTTGATCCCTATTATCAACGCAGAGAAACCACAGTGCTTATGATCGCGAATTACTTGCAATCTATCTAGCCACACAGAATTTTAAACACATTCTGGATGGACAATCATTTACTATCTTCACTGATCATAAATCTATCACCTTTGCCTTCCAACAGAATTTAGATAAAGCCTTTCCCAAGATAAGTCCGGCAACTCAACTACATTGCTAAATTCACTACAGACATACGGTACATTTCTGGAGAAAAAAAAACATCGTAGCAGACACACTGTCGAGACTTGAAACTATTGCCATTCTAGCTCCAAGTGATCATACAGTTATTGCAGATTGCCTGGAGGATGTACACCTCAAGATTCTTAAATCAAATTGAAATTTCAAAACAGTACAAATTCCTATCGTGGATAGCAAAAAGAAAATTTACTGTGATTCCTCCACTAATTTTAATCGGCCATACATATCTGAAGGATTTCGCGAAAGAATATTTTTCTCTATACATAACTTATCTCCTCCTGGAATTCGTGCAACAGTGATGCTGGTGGCAAAAAGATTCATTTGGCCTGTCATAAACAAAGACTGTCAACTGTGAACTAGAGCATGCCAACGAACCAAAGTTCACAAACATACTCATGCCCCAGCTGCTGAGTTCAAAATTCCAAATGAACGTTTCAAGCACCTTAACATCGATATTGCTGGCCCTTTACCATCTTAAAAAGGTTTTAGGTATCTGCTTACTATCATCCATAGATTTACTTGGTGGAT